AGAACAACATTTTTGTAATATCTAATAAACAATTTGATCATACATGACCTACTTCAGGACTTTTTAATGGCGCAGAAAACAGGCAATAGCAACACGGACCAACGACATGAACCAACGACAAGGACCAACGACATGAACCAACAGCATGGACCAACGACGTTCATCACATATGCAGCGAACGCATATGCAACATCTACATGCAACATAGACCAACGACACATAGCAACGACACATCTACACATATGACTTCTACTTATTTTTGACACAAATGGAACCCCATAAATATTAGCTGGTATCTCGCCGGTGGACCTAAATACAGTAACGTAATATTCTAATCGCAATATATACACAATAATATGTCCATCTTACTTGTGAAATGTTGTCTGTCAAGCCCTCGCATCAATAATCCATAGATCCGAACAACAATATCCCTCAGTGCTGAGGCATCTTCTGCTGTTTTGGTTGAGCAAAGTAGGAGGGACGACCGCTCCAAGATGGCCGCCGTATTTCCTGCGCCGGAGCAGCCAATGCGGGGTCTACTCTTATATTGTGTCTATGTCCCCGACCAGCAGCAGTAAAGATGGCCGCCCGGTGACAGCAACGGCTTTTAGTGGAGCACTGACTGCAGCTTCTGACCCGGTTCTGTTGGGATATTGGACCAGGAGTAGTGTGTTGTGATGTGATGCGTTCACTGACTCAGACTGCTTCCATCACTTCATTGTTATCATTTTCAGAAGTTGTTTAGATTTATCGTCCGTCTCCTTCTGCTGCTGAGTTCTGAAACGTCTGATGAAGGGCGACGCTTTGGAAATGATCGCTTGACATTTAGAAGAGGAACAGATAAAACCAGGTCGTTCTTTTTTCTGTGAAGAGGTCGGATTTGAGTCGCTTTGAGTCAACATGTTCTGTCTTCTGGTCGTTTCAGTCGATGTCTAACAGATTCCAACAAGCCGAGAACAAGTCCAGGAAAAACATTTAAATACAACCACAGCAGTCAGGAGGAGTTGACTTCTAAACTACGAGGCAAACCTTTATCCAGACAGACAGCCACAGGTCAGGACAGAAACCAAGTTCCATATTTGACTAAGATAAAGAAAGTCTCCAGATGAAACGATGGTGGGTCGGAGGAGGGCTTGTTCCCAGAACAGAGCCACGTTCTGCTCTGTAGTGGAGATAAAGAGTTGAGCTGAGAAGAAATAATCTGGTTTACTCAGCCTTCACCTGCAGTCATGAGATCCGGATCAGGATCGAGGACCAGAAAGAACAACCCGATTCCAGCTTTAAATCGAGGTCCAACTGAAGCAACATGTCTGGTTCAGACTAAACTCCCAAACTAGGAAAAAAAGCTTCGGACGTTCCCAGTCCACAATCTCAGACACCAAAACCAGGAATGCAGGTCAGCTCATCAAAATCAAGATGTCTGTGCCGACCCAAACTAACAGAACTCTGTCTAGGTAAAGCGGGTCGACACCGGAATCAGTTCTGATCAATTCCTCAAGCTCTGGGAATTCCCAGCAGCTACGCCCCTGGAACCAGACCAGAACTGGAGACAGAACATCTCTACCCAGCAGAGTCTGATTCTGAGGAACCAGAACCGGATCCAGACTCCTGGTTCTTATCTTCAGATCCCAAAGAGCCCAGTCCAAACACACACCGTGGAAAGTGAGGTTATGGTCAGGAAAGGATGAACAGGGTGTAAACATGAATGTTTATGAACAGGGGATTCTGGAACAAACCTTCAGAGATGCTGACAGTGAAAGGACTCCTGGGAATCTGCTGCCCAGCAAAGGTCACACAGACGGTGTGAGGGCCCTCCAGGACGGGGACATAGGTGCAGCGGAATACACTGTCACCTCTGTTCTCCAGCACAATCTCCACTGTGTCCCTCCGGCTGTTGGAGTCCACAATGATGACGCCTACATCCCCGGCTCCCGCCCCTGGGGGACAGAGACACAAGAGGACTTTTCACTGGACAAAGGATGTGGTTGTTCCAGTAGACGACGCTCTCACGTTCATATCAGGACGTCTGCTTGGGAAGCTACCTGCGGTGTAAATGTCGAAGTACGTGGGTTTGTTGGCCACGTTCCCCATCGGCTGCAGTCCGGGCCCGCGGGCCTGGACCCTGGTGGCATCGCCCATGGCCCTGGAGATGTTCACCAGGAAGGGGCTTCTGTCTATGTCCTGGCCGGCAAACAGCACCTTGACCTGGGAGGAGGAAACCTTTTAGGCCGTAAGCGGTTGTTATAGATCTATAACTCTAGGCTGTTCCTCTTTAAGTCCAAAAATAATAACTTCAGTTTTGTTTCTGTTTAGCTGCAGAAGGTTTTGGCACATTTATTTGTTTTAAGCATCTATTCAGTGACTGGAGGGGTTCAGAGTCACCTGGTGACATGGTAATGTAGAGCTGTGTATCGACAGGGAATAAAAAGGGTCAGATCGAATAAAAATGAGTGTACCTCATCTGTACAGACTGGTAGAACAATTGGACATTGATTTTGACATGACCTAGAAGCTATTGAAGGGAAATACTAAATTTAAACTAAAAAAATAGGTAACAAAAATAAAAATTTAGTTAAAATGGAATAAAAATGCATGTGCCTCATATATACAGTTTAGTACAACAATTACACACTGATTTATAGTTAATGTGACACACAATATGGAAGCTATTGAAGAAAACATTATTTAACATTAAAGTTATTTAAAATATTGAATATGACTTGACATTTTAATACAGGGCTATATGTCTCATGTAAAAGCTTGAATTACCACTTTTCTGTATCAGTTGGTCACAAGGCAAAGAATTTACTAATATTTGTTTGACAGGAGTGTTTGGTTCAGAAGTTTGTTGACGGTCCCTAAGTGAAGCCCTGAGGAGGGAGCTGGAGATCGGCTGGCCGAAATTATCGTTCATAAATCAGATCAACCTTGAGTTAAACGCCGCTGGCTCGGTGATATTGGGATGTCCAATATCCAACTCGAAACTAACTTCACTGCAGTCAGTAACACAATAAAACCACCGGGATAAAGTTTGTTTTGGTCTGTGGCACCGAGCGACTGGACCTAAACAACGTCTGACGCAGTGACGTTGGTTCCAAAGCTCTATTGGCCAATAGCAGAGGAGCTGGGCAGCTCTCCTCATTAACATAATGATGCACACGGAAAAGTAAAAGCAGGAGAGGAGAAGAGGCAATGACAAAAGAACGAGGGCTTTTATAAGGAAAAGACAAAATATTTACTTCTCTTGACAAAAACATACTTTTAGGGGAAATGAAAAAGAAAATATATACATTACTTCATGGAAACTCGTGTAAGGAAAAGGAAAAACTACATATATGTTTGTTTTTATTTCTGATTATGTCAGTTTTGGTCCTCCATACCACGCCACTAGAGGCAGTAGCAGGCCCGAAAGATGCGACTAAGAAGCAGATTTAGAAGTACACCGAAAGCTACAGAATTTGTTAAAAACTGAGCTGCACTGAAGTAAATAAGAGAGAGAAGTTCAAATACATGCTGAGAGTGAAAAGAAAATAAAAACAGGAGACCGCGGATAATATAGGAAATAGCGCCCCCTTTACTTCTGGAGTGCAATGGTCCCGTTTCCAGATAAGGTATGAGACTGACAGCGGTCCGTCCCGCCGCTCTGTTTGCTGCTGCGAGGTGGACTTGACTTGGTTTGCACTTCAGGAAGTGATTCTCTGCTCATCCCGGACTGAAGACCTCTGGTCAACTACTTAATGGATTCTTATAATGTATCTGTAATTTAAAATGTAATTTAGGACAAGTCAAGCTTGCTAAAAGTTTTCAAAGTTAGCGAAAGCACTCAGCTAAAAATTAGCTCTGCTATTAGTGGACTAGCTGATGCGTTCCCACTACTGGGAGCTCATCATCTGAAAGATCTGATTTCCATTTCCATCAGATCTTTCAGAGTGTGGCTGGCTGAATTTACAGTTTATTCATTTATGAAGTTTTAAAATATTTACTTTCTTTGGCCCAGACCTCTAAGCCTAAAGTAACTCTGGAGCCTGAAGCCGCCGCTGCCATAAATGAAGCATGCGATGGTTTCATTATCAAAGCATTGTGTGCTCTCTTCACCTTATGAAGACCCTCCACCTTGGGCAGGTACACCACAGAGTAGGTCCGGTTCTTGTCGTTGTTGGGAATCACTCGAGCCTGACGGAACCAGATACACAATGAATCTCAGCTCCTTGACCGGACAGTGGCTGTGTGGCGCTCCAGACCTCCTCGGTGTGTCCCTCCGGATCCTCCACGTACACCAGGACTTCCCCCATGCCGGCCTCCACCGTCTCCACCAGGAACTCTGCTGTTTTCAGGACCGTGTTTCCTCGAGCCTCGATACCTGAAGCAACAGAACCATTTGAGGCCGGAGCAGCAGCATGTTGCACCAATCTGCATCTCCATCAGATTTATAGTGAAGGGCCAACATCTGGACACAGCAGGATTTTCCATTACAACAACTGAGAGGCAGTTCATTTCTACAGAAATATTCAGATTTAATGGCTGCTGAAAGAACCACATACTCCTATTGATTATTCAAACAGGACTGTATGTAAGTATATGAGGTCAGGTGAGATGGAGCTGAAGGTTCACCTGGAACTGATTCACCTGATGAGAGAAGAAAGATTACATTTTCATTCCAACTTCAGTTTCTTCATATAAAAAGTTTGTTTTACCTGAATGTGTCTGTTTATTCATTTTTGTGCCTGGAGGCTGTGCTTCTGTCTGGGAGGTCAGGACAGAACAGACCACAGCACAAAACCTCCAGACTAACATCCTCCACCATGAACAGGAAATCAGCCACATTCTGAAGCGGATCAAACCGTTTCCCCTGGTTCTGGTTGGCGTTGCCTACCTGGACCGTAAGCTTTGGCCCTCTTGGGGTGAAGCGTCTTGGCCCTGAGCGGCGCGCCAGGCTTCAGCTTGGCCTTGGGGAACTGGGACAGGTAGGTCATGACGGAGTGCTCGTCCACATTGGGGTCAACGATCTCCTCTGGAGCTATCACCTGGACGGGCAGAACCACAAGAACACCTGAGGGTCTGACTGGAGGCCCAGAGGAGGACCAGTCTGACCAGCACAACCAAATTAACCAACCAGTCTGACCAGATCAGCCAGTGTGACCAATACAACCAGTACAGCCAGGGACTCCAGCAGCTCCATGAACTACAGGCTCATGGCTTTAGTCTGGGATTTAAACTGGATCAATGGAGGACAGACTGGACCTCATGATGGTACATTTATCAGGACCGGTCTGGAACACCTGCAGGACTTCCTGCTTTCCAGCCAATCAGAAGACAGCTTAACATTACCTGTGGGACTCCCAACCAGTCGTCGGCCTGCTGCATGGCCTCCCTAGCATTTTCCACCGGCTGACTGGGATCCCAGCTCTCCCAGTCTGGACACAGACCTGGAGGTGGCAGAGGAAACGTTTCACATGAATCGGCTCAGTCCTAACCGGTCTCAACTGGTCCCGGTAGCATTTTAACTGGTCCCAGTCCCTACCAGGAGCACAGTTGTCCACCAGTGCTCCCAGTGCCTTGCCGTCCCTCCAGTCCCGGTGGAAGTTGGTGATGGGCAGCTGGGGCACCTTGTTCTGGATCCAGCCCAGCAGCCGCTGCTTGGGCGTCAGCTTCCTGGCATCCTCATCGTCCTCGTCCTCCCAGGTCGGCATGGAGATGGAGTAGTGCAGGATGAGCGTCCAGATCAGACCCAGGATCAGCTTCAGGTTCCCATCCACGATGGCTTTGGAGTCTGGGGGACGGATGTAGGAGGATATGGGTGGGACAGAGAGGGGCAGGAGGGAAACAGGGGGACAGGAAGAGACGTCAGTCAGTAGGAAGGTTGAGTTTCCAAACCTTACATCCTTTTTGTTATTTTTCCATCTATTTTTATTGAACGTTACAACAGCAACAAGAATCAAATGCACTGAGGAAATTAAAGCAGTGAAACAGGAAACTAAAGCAGTTGATCATGAAGATCATGAGTTTTTATAAAGTGGATGTTGGATCCCAAATGTCGACGTGACAGCAGAGAATCGTTCCGGCTGCTGATCTCAGGGAGTTTTCCAGGAACATGTGAGACGAGTTAACGAGCTGCTGGAACGATACTGATGTCAGGAAACTGTCTGGAGGACGAGATCACTCCTCTGACATCACTGACCCACTTCCTGCTGCACATCAACCCGACTTTCACTTTTCTGTCACTGAGCGGAAAAGTTTGATCCAGCAGCAGCAGTGAAGTCATGGCTGGGCCAGGAATGAGTCACGTTAATAGGAAACACACACAGGAAGGGATCTGGGGAAGGCCGTCTGCATAGTGAGGTCATGATGAGGTCATGATGAGGTCACTACGGCCAAACTACGGCCAGACAACGAAAGGACCAGACCTGGAGTTATTCAGGAGGAAAGCAAAATCAGGGCTGAGACGTAAAGGACTTGAGTGAATTCGGCCCCCAAACCTGCTTCAAAGCTAACAAAATTAGCACCAAACCTTTGTGCTAATTTGTCAGACTCAGCAGGAAACCAATTTCCAGTTGCCTCCCAGTGGTTCCAGTATACAGCCCCAGTCTGGTCTCTGGGAACCTGCAGTGACTTAAATGATCGTTAAGGCTTCATGGTCGGTTCTGAACTTCAGGTTCAAGCTGTCCCGGGCAGAACCAAAACAGAACCAGCCCTCGACATCTGACCTGGTTCCAGACCGGGTTCTTCCTCCGGTCTGGAACCCAAACCCTTCAGCAACATTCCTCAGAACCAAAGCGGCCAATCAGAGCAGAGTGGGCGTGGCCAAAGCCTGAATCGGCGCTCTGTCTACTGGACTCAGCGTGACAGTCAGCAGATCTTCATCATGAGGAAGACGAGCTGCTGCTGCTGCTGCTGGCAGAACTGGTCCGGACCAGAACCGGACCAGAACCTAACCCTGGCCAGGATTCTATGCACAGTCTGAACTGGTTCCTGACTCTGTTCAAAGTGCTCTGAATGAACAGTTCTCGGTTCTGAACCATCAGGCACAAAATCTCCTAGCAGATCCAGAAACCAACTGGGTCTTTAGGTTCCTCGCCCCGACATGGTTACCATGGAGACGACGTGGGAACAACCCCAAAACTACATGCGACAGGTGATCTCTGGTTACCATGGTTACGGTCACCCATCTGACACCTGGCCATCTGCTGCTGTCCCAGGTCCAGGTTCTGGTTCTGGTTCTGTCCTGCATGTGTTCAGCAGCCGTGACCCACAGAACCAGTGACCCGGTTCTGACTCAGCGCCTCAGGCAGCTGCTGCTGTTGGCCATCTTGGAGCCAACAGGAAGTGCACCAGCTATAGCAGATCAGAAGAACTGGAACCGGGTCCCGGACCTGGTACCAGGTCAAGGACCCGGTACCGGTCACTCTGATGGAAATGTGATTTATATCGACTCAAATGAAAAATGAAAAAACTAAATTAAGAGAAAAACTAAGAGCAGAGCAGCAAACAAGATTTATTCTGCTGTTAAAAACAAAATAAAAAAATCAAATAGAAAATCCAGACTGAATATTGACTAAAATAAAATAAAATAAAATGTGGGATTTAATGAAATGATTCAAAATATGATATAAAATGGTTTTAAATTTATACTTCTGAGCAGACCCACAATGCAATAGGACCTTAACGAGCTGCTGCAGCTCATTGGCTGGACTCAGGAAGGGAATTGGCCGGATTGGGCCTCAGCCCACCCGAACCAGAACCCGGCCCATCTGAAGTCTCCATGTTCCACCTGAGCTTCTCTACAGGAACTCCAGCTTCCTCCCAGAGTCTGACACACGGCTGCTAAGCTAACAGAGCATTAGCGTCTCTGTGGACCAGAGTCCATGTGGACCCGCCTCTCAGGTCCAACAGAACCAACAGAACTCACTGATCAGTTCTCAGTTCTTGGTCAGCTCCACAGGAAGTCCCAGTGAGTCACAGATCCAAAATAAGCAGCGAGCAGCGTGTGTGTGTGTGTGTGTGTGTGTGTGTGTGTGTGTGCGCGTGTGTGTGTGCGCGTGTGGGTGTGCGCGTGTGTGTGTGTGTGTGCGCGCGTGTGTGTGTGTGTGTGTGTGCATGTGTGTGTGTGTGTGTGTGGGGGGGGGTTCCTGGCTTCAGATGGACATTCCTGAGCGCTGACTGCTGCAACACATGGCAGCCATTACTCTGACAGACAAACACGAACCGACAGAATTAGAAAATACAAGAATGGCTCTTCAGGCAGGGAACCCTGACCAGGTTCTGGAGATCTGAGCGGATCCAGAACCCGGCAGGAGGAACGGAGAGCCGGATCGGAACCAAATGGAAGCCACCAAACCAGCAGAACACAGAGAAGTAATCCTTGGCGGTTCTGGCAAAGTCCAGAAAAATGAAACCCAGAGAGGAACCAGAACATCCTGAAGCAGAAACCTGAAAAGTCCTGAAGGGAACCTCCGGAACCGGAAAGATGTTCCGATACGTCTTTACGAAAACAAACTTTCAGAGTAATCCAGATGATGGATTAAAGAGAGAAACATGAAGTTTACTGAAACAACAAGAAATCCAGAAAGAATGTAGAAGAAACGGAGCAGAAACAGAATCTGGAAAAGGCTGAAACTTTTCCATTATTTACACTGTAAAAACACAAAACCTTCTACCTCAGTACACTGGAAATAAAAAAGAAACAACTTTTCACAGGAGGTTGTTGTAAGTCAATTTCTACCTTGTTCCACTGGCAGATTAATCTCTTATAAAATAAATCTTTTCATGTTTCAAGTGAAATAAAATATCAACAAGTTATTAACTTGAAACCAGCTGTAAGTTAGTTTCATCTTATTTTAACTGTACTGGGATATTTGCACTAGAAACCAGAGTAAAATACTTGGTAGGATTTTGTGTTTTTACAGTGTAAATAATACAGGATGTTCCCATGAAAAAGTAGCCCGCCTTCCTGCCAGAGTGGCCCCCAAAATCAACTTGTGACTTTTATCTGTGGGGCAATTTGAAGGGAAAAGTTTATGCTAATAACTCAAGAACTTTACAGCAGTTTAAAGACGATATTCATAATGTGATTCAGAGGATTGGTGCCCCTGAGTTGCATCACGTATATGACAATATGTTAAGGCGCGCCCAAAACGGCAAAGGATCATTTCCAGCTCTTTCTGTAAAGATTGAGTACACATTTGGGATATATATAAAGAAAATCCAGAAATGATCCAGAAGCCGTGAAACAATGAAAGATCTAAATAAACTAGGAAAAGCAAACATTTTATATTTTTAATCCCAGAGACACAAAATCTCTTGTTTCTGATTCTGGCACTTAATCAAACTGAGTCTGCTGCTAATTCCTGGGGGCCACAGGGTGCATGGCCCTGGGCCCCCAGCAGCTGGGACTGGCCCTGGTGATGCCTTCAGCTCTACGAGTCTATTTTCAGCAGCAGAGTTCAGCTGTCCTGCATCAATCAGCTCCAGGGCCACCCAGGGCCCAACAGGGCCAAACTAGAGGCTCCTGGGTCCCACTGGGGCCGCCCATGGCCCAAAGGGCCAAACTAGAGGCTCCCAGCAGCTGCAGGCCCTTCCTCTGGTCCTGGACGCTGCAGGAAGCGTCTGAGTCAGCAGAAGATCTGCAGTTTGACTTCCAGAAGAATGGAGAAGTTCTCCTCCAGGATCCGACCTGCTGACCTCCAGAACCAGAACCTCTTCTAGTCTCCTGAAACACGTCCACTTCCTCAGAGATGGAACATCTACAGAACTCCTGATAAAAATCTTCAAACTTTCAACTTAACCAGAACCAGCAGAACCTTCACTGAAGTCCAACAGCCTGGACCAGCAGATGGTGGAAGTTCTCCGATGGGTTCAGGATCCAGTTGGAGAATCTCAGACACCTGCGACCCTGAGGAACACCAAGCAGACCCAGAACATCTAGAACGCTTCAGAGAACCCTTCGTTTGCTTTGTGTCTGCCGCTGAAAGTTTCAGAGGTTTTAAATCAACTGGAACCTTCTGGAAGTTCTGTGAAGATCCAGAACCTTCCAGAACCTCTGATCTGCTCAGGTTTGCTCAGGTTCTTCCAGGTGATCAAAAACCCTGGAGAACCAAAGAACCGGAGGAACTGAGGAAGGTTCTGCTGGCTTCTGGATCCATCCAGAACCTTCCGACCCTCTGCCCCCCCAGCAGCTCGTGTCTGGCCTTCAGAACCTCCAGAACCGGGTCGTTCTCTCACCAATGGACACCAGCTTGATGTGCTCCCGCTCCAGGAACTCCAGCGCCACGGACACGTTCTCCAGCTTCATCTGCCGAAAGTTGGGTCGCAGGTGGTACTTCCGGTACATCTTCTTCTGGCTCAGCACCTCCAGCAGCCCGATGAGCTTCAGCCCGTCGCTCAGGTCCCTCTGCAGGTCCGCGATCCGCCTGTTGAGCCCCTTCAGGTGCTCGTTGCACCACCTGGTGAAGGTGTTCTGCTGGATCTTCTTCCACGGCGCGTCCTCCGCCAGGTCCTTCTCGGTGGCCGGCATCTCCTCCTCCTCCTCTGCGGGCTCTGCGGGGCTGAGGAAGAAGAGCTGCTGCGGCTCCAGGAAGCCGCTGTTCTTCATCATGCTGCGCGGCTGTCACACGGGCTCGGACCGGGTCGGAACCGAGGAGGAGGAGAAGCGCGGCGGCGGGGGCAGAGCCAGGATCAGAGTCCGACAGCTGGGTTCGGTCCGTGGGGAAGGTCCGGGAAAAGTTCGGCTCGGTCCGGAGGAAGAGACTCCGAGTGCGGGGCAGCGGTTCGGTTCGGACAGAATGGACTCGTTTCGGACTGACCCGCAGGGTTAGGGATCTCCGCGTCACTCCACTGGACCCCCAGGAATGACCCCTCCACACCCCCCACCATGACCTCACCATCAGGCTGCAGCTGATTGGTCCGCGGCGGCCCGGGGGGCGGAGCCTGCCCCCTCCAACACGATCCGAACCCGGGACTCCCGTCCCGCTGACGCCCCGGGTATTTTTAGAGTCTGCAGCTCGTAAAGAGGAGAGAGGGGACCAATCAGAGGACAGAGACACCGAGGGGACCAATCAGAGGACAGAGACATGTCCACAGGCTGTCTTCAGAGACAGAGAACTAATTTATAAATTAAGCTGATTAAATTTGTTGAGCCTCTAGAACCAGTAGAACCAGTGGATGGAGCAGTAGCGCCTCCTGCTGGACCACCTGGAGAACTACAACCTGGATCAGGACAGAGCTGTGGACACACCCACACCTGGACAGAGAACCTCACATCTAGGTGAGAACCTTCCTGGGTCAGAATCGGCTTTTTGCTGTTTGCGTAAAAATTAAATCAATCTGTTAAAAATGACTTCCTCCCTGCAGGGGGCGCAGAGGAGGTTACCCTTACTCACTCAGAACCACGGAACCAGGTCGAACAGGGTCCAACCAACAGAACACACAGAAAACGCCAAGTTTCATTAAATTTATTACAATTGATCTGGCATCACAGGAAGTCACAGGAAAAAACAACAGGAAGTGCAAACAGCAAGAACATACACTATCAAAATAAAATACAGTTAAAAAAAAACAAATAAAAATCAGAAACCAGGAAAATAACAGGAAGTCTGAGCAGCGCAGATCAATTTACAAAGTGCTTCAACTAACGCAACATGAGGCAACAGGTTTGCTCTCGTCAACCTGCTTGGTTCCGATGAAATAAAACAAAAAGGTTCTGGTCCGATTCTTCTGGACAAGGAAAATCCAGATTTGCAGAAAAGTTCTGATGCTGGAAACCAGAAACAGAAAGTCAGCTTCCTTTTTACTGGTGTGAGGTCAAAGAGTCCAGACCAGGTCCATCAGAACTCATCCAGAACATTTCCTCAGATCAGCCACCAGCTTGTCCACCTCGGCCTTGGAGACGAAGCGAGGTCGGCGGCGCACGCTCCGCTTGGTGTGGTGCTTGCGGTTCCTCTGGTACATGTCTGCAGGACAGAGGGACAGGTTCAGTCCAGAGAGGACAAGAACCATCAGAACTTCTACAGACCACGGTACGGCCATATGCTGACGACACTCTCACTGTGTCTGAATGTCTGAGCAACGATCAGGTCAATCTGCTCAGGTCAGCAGAATCAGCCCCAAAACCCGACCGTGGCTTTAGGGTTCTCTTCATATCCCTGATGTGTTTATCAGAACCTCTACAGGTCCAACAGAACCTAATTTCCTCTGGTTTCACACAGACTCCTGTGTATCAGGACAAGTCATTAATAAAACACCTGATTGTGTTGAAGCTCTTTTGGACTTTGGGTCAGGCCTTAGAGCCACCAACCTGTGCACACGTTCCCTTCATTAACCGGGATGAGAGAGTCCGGACATGAACAGGCCAACGAGTCCAAACCACAGTCTCGCTGTCCAGACTGTGGTCTGGACTCCCTGGTCTGGACTCAATGAAGAGTCCAGACCAGGTGATGCAGGCATGAACAGCCGGCGGTACCTCTAAAGGAGACGACGTAGACCCTCTGGCCTTTCACCACCTGGACTTCGGTTTCTCCAGAGACAAAGGCCTCCTCCAGGGTTCTAGACGCCACTGAAGTGGACCGCTGCTTCTCATCCTGACGGAACCAGAACATGTCGTTATAACCTAAAGACCGGCTGAGACGGTCCAGATCGTCGGGCCGACTCACCAGCTGCCCGTACTCCAGCCAGCCGCCCCGCTCTGCCCGGTAGTACCACAGCCACTGGGTGGTCAGGCTGTAGTGCGGCGGCCTCCTCACCCAGGAGACGGTGGACAGACGGCGGACGGGCATGGACTCCATCGTCATGGTGACAAAATCCACCCGCTGATAGTCTGAGCTGCAGGACAAGAGGCGTTGAGAGGCGACTCTGTGACCCCAGAGCAGACCTAAGGTGAGCCTCACCTGTGAGTCTTAGCCGGGTTGCAGTAATCCCGTTCAATCTCCTCCATGTTCTCCAGGTCCGACCAGCACCGGCCATCATAGATCTCCCACTTATAGGGCAGGTGGAAGTGGACCTGGCGGCAGCCGTCTGCACAGAAACATGGACCCTGAGACCGGCGCTCTGCTGCCACCTGCTGGTCACCACAGCAGCTGCATGTGGAGGAACTCACCCTGGAACCTGCAGCTGTTTCTGATGAAATGCAGACAGATTTCCTCCGTCTCGTCTGTCTGGGCCGCTTTACAGAACTCACCACAATCTGGGTCTGACACACAAACAGAACATTTCAGCACCTGAACAGCAGGAGGTGCTAAAATCCCCTTTACACACCTTATACTTGATTTTGATCATTTCAATTTGTGTTGATTTCTAAGCTATTTTTTTCCTCACATTTTATGGGACTAATTTAGTCTTTGTTGTATATTTCTGAACTTTGCTTTATGTTTATATTTGTGAAGTTACAGTTAGATTTTTATTTTTTTTATTATTTTCCATACACAACAAAAAGCCTGTGGCGATAGCTCATGTTAATGTTCTGGGTGTTGGTGAAACTACAGACTTTGATCTCTGATGAACATCTGATGTTCAATCAGGCTGAGTTTGGTTCACTAGGGGGCGCCGTTTGGAAAACATCAACAGCAATAATCTGGGATATTTAACCAGTCAGAGAAAAAAATCAGTTTTTTTTGTTTTGTTTTGTTTTTTCAAAATTTATCTGACTCGAAGCTTTGTTAATTTATGTTTTATTATGTAGCGCACCATGTTCTGGCCGGGTGATTATCTGTGAGGCCAGCGCTCTTACTTCCACCTATGAGTTGCTGTGAAGTGCCGGCGGCCTGGTGTTGAATTGTGCGACATTTTGTGAGGATTGTTGAATTCTGCGGTGCGATGGTTGGACTACGACAGCTTTTGTGGCGTCGGAATAGCGTCGTCACAGAGAGAGAGTGAGAGATCTCTGATTCCTCGGATAATCGTACAAATATTCTATAGTGTACTCGATTACTAAAATATTCTTTTACAACAGCCCTAAAGTATTTACTTTGAAACTAAATACTTAGCTTGCTAAGTAAATATTCAGTTTGAGACTGTGACATTTATAGATGAATGAATCACATGGTGAAAATATGACTGAACAATGAACATTGATGTTTCTCTTATAATTAAACCAAATTACTGCTGTTCATTTCTGACTAATGTTATAAACGACCACAGGTCACCGAGGAACAGCAGCGTGTGAGAGAGCAGCATCATACCGGAGGAGGACGTTTCAGCTCACCGTCTGCAGCAGGAGCAGCAGCAGCAGGTGATGCAGCAGGTGATGCAGCAGTGGCGGCAGCGTTCAGGTACTGGGCGTTCCTGTAGATGGCGGGCAGATCTCTGATGAGCTGGCGGCTCAGCCCCCTCTGCTCCAGGACGCTCTGGCTGCGCAGGTCCACGGCGTGCTGCCGCCTGCACCGCGGCCCGAACCGGCAGACGCCCTGCAGGAAGTGCTGGCACAGGTGCAGCTTGGAGCAGGAGTCCTGGAACCTGCAGCCGCCATGAGGAGCCGAGCCTTTGTTGTAGTGAACACACACCTGAGGAGGAGGAGGAGGAGGACAGGTACGGGTCAAACCTTCATCAGAGGAAACTCTGCTGGACATCATCCTCAGCCACATGTTGCTACACCAGCCTTTACTTTGAAAGGCAACAGCTGTCTTCTTCCTGTTTAGCTGAAGTTCTGCAAAGACAACATGGCTGCTGAGAAAGCCAGCGCCTAAAGGAGGCAGCCAACATGCTGACATGGGAAACTGGTTGCTATGGTGATTCCCTCCAACTGCACCATGAGCCTCAAAATGACCCAGAGTGGGAAACATTAGACAAACTCAGAACCTTCAGGTCCAGTTCCTCCAGAACCAGCCAATGAGAGGGGCGTGTGTCTCTGCTCTCTGATTGGTCAGAAACCAGGAAATCCTGAAGCAGTGGGAGAAACATCTACGACTGGATGGAGAAACTGGTTCTGACGATTCTACCGGGTCAGAACCATCATCACACCGAGCTCAGCAAAATCTGGAAGGATCCTCAAAGTTAAACTGGGATTATGGACAAACTGGGAGCACAACTGGGCCTGGGAACCTCCAGCTTCCTGTGACCCAGTCAGACTCTGGATGATGGTTCTGATGGAGGTGACACTGAGTCCAAACAGGACTGGGTTCTTACTGCTTTTTAGTTACACACGACATAAAAGCTCCACATGAACCTGTTCCTGATCCAAACCATCTTCAGTTCAGATGAACAGTTTCAATTAGACTGATTTTAACATAAAAGGTGAACAGGAAGAGTTTTACTTTACCTGCTGTGGATTCCTTGGGTGAGACATTCTTAGTTTATTTATTTAGTTCATTTAGTTTTTTTTTTGTTTTTCTTCTCATCTTGCATTCTCTCCATTTTGCTTTCAGTATTAAACTTTAACATTAAGCCTCCAGTTTCCTCTTCCTCAGATCTTCACCCCGTCCTCCTCCCTTCCATCCAGGCAGGGCAGGAGCTCAACTGGTCCAACTGGTTCCAGTAAGCCAAAGCACAGGCATGAACACTCTGAATCATCAGTGGAACGAAAACACACCAAACCCCGGGAGTCGGACCTGGAGTCAGTCCAGGACTTGGATAACCAGCATCTCCAAACCGGTTGGATTTTATCAGGTTTTACTCTGAGGAATCTGCATTTTGCTCCCGTTAGAACAGTTTGGACGTTAATCTGAACGTTTTCTGGGACGTCCTGAGACAAAATGAGGCGAGTGACGATGGAAACAGAACAGACAGACAACACAAGTCGGAGCTTTTCAAAATAAGACAGGAAATTAGTGACCTTAACGGCCCTTTTATTAAGTTTTGGGACTATGACTGATAACCCTGTTCCTTCTAATCATGTTTTCAATTGGAGGAACCTTTTGGATGAAAAGTGAAATATCTTCAGAAACCATTAGAGTTTCTACTTAAGTACAAGAGAACAATCACCACCAGATGGCGCTCTTACCCGAGGTCAAAGTTTACAGCCTGTAGAGAGTTCTTTATCTTCTGAATCCACCAGATTAAAATAATCCCAGACAGATCTAAACATCTCGAGGAGTTCCTCTGCTGACAGCGTCTGCAGCCAGGTGCTCTTGAAAAGTTCAGCCATCTTTAAAGTTTACTGCCATCTAGTGGTCAGGACTGGTGCTGCCAGCTGCAGAGCAGCATGAAAACCCAACAGCATCTTTAACAAAGCAGTTCTGATGCGTTTGGTCTGAAGAACCAGCAACACATTTCAGGCTGCATATTATCGACCGCTCCACTCAGCCGTATGTTTGACAGGCGCACTGAAGTATCAGCGCATTTAATCCATCATAATTCGCTAAATACTAAACTGATTTTCACAATTTATTTTGCTGTAAACCTTATTCACACAGCTATCACAGCTATATTTACAACAAAGTTAGTTTAAAGGTATTTTTGAATTGACTGATGATGGTTTAGTGTATTTAAATATTCTTAATGGGGACAACAGAATAGATTGGGAATATAATATTTTGATATTGATGTATGATGAGCATTTTACACGGCACACAATCAGTCATACGATTTTAATATATTATTTAGTAATATCAATACATATATATATATATATAAACAAAATAATACAATCATATAGAAACAAAGATGATTAAATAATGATTAATACTGAATAATGTATTAAAGTACACATATTTATATGCACATGGTTATATACATAATATCTATGTAGGTTTTATTCATATTTTCCAGCCGAGGAGCTTCATCCATCTCTTCCTCACATCGTGTCTCTATGAAACCTTCAAAACTAAAACCATCTTCCAGGGGTGGCCAAGTCCAGTCCTCGAGAGCCACCATCCTGCAAGATTTAGAAGTATCCTTACTCCAACAGACCGGGATCAGCTCTACAGAGGCCTGATAACGAGCCAGTCATTTGATTCAGGTGTGTTGAAGCAGGGATGCATCTGAAACTTGCAGGATGGTGGCTCTCGAGGACTGGACTTGGCCACCCCTGCTACAGAGTGAAAGAATCACACATAAATAACAGTCTTTGCCACCTTGTGTCGCATAATCTAAATCAATATTAGGGAATAATTAAAATGTTCTAATTTTCCCTAATATATCTCGGTTCGCCTTCATAGCTGAACCTGGTAGCGCTGTAGCTAATATTAGCTGGCATTTTGCCGGTGGACTTAAATACAGTTTAGTTTAGTTTAGGGTTAGTAATATTTTATTCACAAAATATAAACAGTCCATCTTACTTGTGAAAACTTTAACCCCAGAAATCTCACGACAATAGTTCGTCGATATGAACAAAAATATCCGGTGGTGCTGAAGCTTCTGCTGCTGTTTTAGTTTAGCCAAGTAGGAGGGCGACCTCTCCAAGATGGCCGCCGTTTCCTGCACCAGAGCAGCCAATGCGGCGTCTACTCTTATATAGGTTAGCTTCGTTCCTTATATTATGTCTATGATCAGTAGCACACAGCTGCTGTACTACGGAGCAGAAAGCTGACGTTGTTGTTTCTCTCTACATCCAGTGGGTGGCGCATGTCGCTACAATTGAGAGTAGCCACACAGGCACCACCCCTTGAAGGAAACAAACACACCCAGTACAACACTTTCATTCTATTGGCTGAGAAGTTGCCAGGCAACTGTGCCAAAAAGCGTTTTCAAAAGCGAACAGAGAGTCTGAGCAGAGACTACGTGTGAGCACCAGGAGAGGTTTTGAGAACAAACGACATGAGATCCTGCTTTCAGACCGAAAATGTGTGCTCTTGGATTATGGCAGGAAAATCCCCCCATATCTGCTCTGGCCTGTGTGAGCTACCTGAGCAGGTGTGGAGGTTACCTCAGGCAGCAGCTGCGGGTCGTTCTGCAGCAGCAGCAGGAACAGCTCGTCCTCCTGCAGCTCGTGCAGCGTGCATTCTCTTAGCAGCCCGGCGTTGTGCTTGGAGGAAACATCATGGGACAGCTTACACAACTTCCTGTTTAGAAAAGACATCGATAAGACCTGGAAACACCAGGGGCCTCATGTCCACTATAAAACTTGGCGTACAGACAAATTTGGAAAAGTGCGGCGCACAAAAAAGTCCGGATGTATAAAGCCGTGCGCACGCACGTCACTGCGCACCTTCCCTGTATAAATCCTGATTTACAGGAAACGGAGCAGCTGCTGGTCGCCTGTCGGCTCCATAAATGCATTTTAATGTAAATTAGTATAAATATCTGGAAGTCTGCAGTCACGTGAAGCAGTAACCATGGCAACGTCCTTGTTTGTAGCAGTAAAATCATATATTTTATTTAAAAGGAGCTTTCAGGACACATAAGGTCACCTCACATAAATAAAAATAATTTTTAAAGAAATATATCCAATTTAAAAAGAAGAAAAGACAGAGATCGTCCAAATGCCCGTTGGAGCAGCAGAGCGTTCAGCCCGGATTTAAGACTCAGAGAGGCTCTGAGTGAAAATGTGGACGTTTGTTCTACATACAGGAATCGTGTGAATAAGTTGTACAATTACAGAATAGAGATGCTTTCTGTCCATAAAGGCGCATTCACAAAGCGGACGGCTCCTTGTTTAAGTTCTGCTCAGAGCTCCAGGGTGATCAGTCTGGATTCATCTAAACGCTAATAAACCATCATCAAGATTTCCCATCAGATCAATATGATCTCTGATCAATCCTCCCTCTGAATCCTTCCATTGGCGATGTTCTCCATCAGAGCCGAAGCTCTCCTGTGATTGTCTCCACACCTGATCACCTTAAAATAATCAAACTGTTTTCTGCGGCGCACAGATCGATGCGTTACATCTTAATGAGACAAAAACTGAGGAAAATTATTGACATTGGAATGAGGTTTTCACATCCTTTTATTATTTTTATTATCATTTTGTGTGCATGTTATTGTCTGAGGATAAATCGGTTCAGTTTCATTGTTTACGTTTAAACAATAAAATATTAAAATCATGAAGAAGACATCAGGTTTGAAGCTTCCTGGTCTAAATAACTGAATGTCATCAGGTTTCAGTGATTTAGGTGAGTTTTGATGCTTTGTAGTTTGATATTGTTCACAGAAAAGGTTTGTGTGGCCGCCGCACATTTTCACGCAGGGAAAAAGTGTGTGTATATTTACGCAAACTTTAAGCAAAGTTAATTTTTATACATGCCGACTTATGCGTAAAATATGGCGCCGCACATTTTGTGCGTACCCACGCTTTATACATGAGGCCCCTGGTGACTCAGATGATAAAACAAAACTCTAGATTTGGGAGAAACACACCATAAATACTTAAAAATTAATTATTTCTACAGTTTGAATAAATTATTAAATTAAATGATGATAAAGCATTAAATAAGCTATAATTTTTATTTTCAGACATGTACAACTTAAATAAAGCAAAGACAAATAATTATGTCACTTGTGACTTTGTAAGAAATATTTTCCTTCTGTTTCTCCAAATTGGTTTGTGAGAACAGAATAAAACCAGAGTAGAACTGCAGTAGAACTGCATCGATGGATGGAATAAACTTTATTTTAACTGAACCGGGACCACAGGCTTGGTTCAGTTCTGGTTCTGGTCCTGGTTCTGTTGGAACCGTTGGGATCTCAGCCCAGACCGGAAGTGTACCTTCAGGTTTCGTTTCTCTACAAACTAAAACTCACTTGATGGCTCTCGGTTTATGACGTCACTGTGACGTAAGGAAAAGTTGATATTGTTTTCCTCAGTTTTTATTTGGTTCTGTTTAATATTCCGTGCAGAAGTATCAGGTCGGGTTCGAGATGGACTCCTGCTGGGAATCCCGGAATGAATTCCTGGTTTTTGACCCATAAACTGTGTGAAACGTCGGAACCAGAACCTCCGATGGGAAGAACCCGGGGGTGAAACTTTCTCTCGATCACAACAAATCAAGTTTTCGTCTCCTCTCAAGTTTAATTCCTAAACTTTCGTTTCGCTTCATGAGAGAAAACTGAGTATGTATCAGTCCGCGGCGGAGAGAAATAGTCCCGCGGCGGTTCGGGTTCTAGTTCCTGTGTGAACGGCTCACCTGCCCTTCCCGAACCTGCAGTTCCCGAAAACGTAGAAACGGCAGAGATGCAGCTGCTGGCAGCTTCCCCCGCACCGCTCCCCCCGGCTGTAGGCGCCGCAGAGCCGCAGGGAGGTGCGACCGACCACCGAGTAAGACTCCCCGTCCGGGACCAGCAAGAAGCGCTGCGGACAGTTCTGGATGATGTAGATGAAGTCTTCATTTGTCATCCTGCAACGCTGCTGCAGCTCCTGCTGCAGCTGCTGCAGCTGCATGCAGCCCCTGCGCTCACACAGGCAGCTGGTGGCCTGCAGGATCACCGAGCTGATGGACGGCATCCTGCTGCTGCTGCCCGGACAGAGGCACTGAGCTCCGGGAGGACAGAGGCTGGGCTGGGCGGGGAGGAACCAGACTCTGAGGGAGGGGCCAGTCCAGGGGGAGGGGCTAGGAGTCCAGGGGGTGGGGCTAGAGGTCCACGTGTTCTCATGCCTTCAGGTTCCTGTCTGACTGAACAGCTGCTGGAAGTTGTCAGGAACATCTGGAGGAAGAGTTCATTGAACAATGTGACTGAATGTTAACCAATCAGAAGCACCGATGAGGTTCATCTGGATGAAACAGGAAATACAGTCTAGGTGTTTTATTTCTATAACCCTTGTTCCTGTGCGGTGCCTCTCCAACCTGGACAGGTGGCCAGTCCATCGCAGGGCCATTCCCAGACTCTCCAGCGCCCCCTGGAGGATCTCTATACACTAGAAGGGACACATACTGGCCACTTTATTAGGTACACCATTTCAGTCAGCACAGAGAATCAGCCAATCACAGTCAAACACGGTGAAGTTCAAAGTCAGGGTCAGAAAGAGGAAGAAGGTGAAATCAAATTAGTCAGCGTGGCATGGTTGTCGGTACCAGACGAGTCCATCCAAGTACTTCAGAATTTGCTGATTTACTGGGATTTTCAACAACAACCTTCTCCCAGCGAGGGTCAGGATGGAAGAATGTTTCCATGTCTGATGCTTTGACCTGAAGGAATCCAATATGCAGTTTGTTTCCAGCCCATCCCACAGTCTTGGTGCTGGTTCTGGTTCTAATCCTGGTTCTGGCACTCAGCTCTGGCTGCTGCAGGTGTGTCCAATCAGACAGGTGTGTGTATCCAGACTGATGAAGCTGCAGCTCTGTGTGTGGATTCTGCAGCTGGACAGAGAGGTTGCTGTCCCTCTGGGCGACGTCCCTTCAGGCAGGTGAAAAACACCTGAACCATCAACCAGAACCTGGGTCCAGTTGGACTGACCTGGTTCGGTTCTGAGGATCAAAGGGTTGTGTTACCTCTAGTTCTGAGTCTGAAAAGGTAAAACACCGAAATACAAATCAGAACCTGGAGGATGTTTAACCAGGTGAACAGTTTAAAGATGGCAGAACACAAAATTCTACCAGAACCCGGCTTAGATCCCGGTTCCTGTAGTTGACATGAACTGAGGTCTTATGAAGGTTCCTACAGATGGAGAGCAGCTAAACCTCCAGAGCTGAGTTCAGGCCGTGGAGACCAGAACTTGAGTGGTGCCAGGCCGACCCGTTAGGTACCACCCACTAGGCTCAGCACCGTCTCCTGAGGACTCTGGAAGCGGTTTGGGTTCTGGATTCCTGAACCCTCTGGAGGGTCAGGTCAGAACAGGTCAGGGCTCCTCTGGTTCTGGATTCCTGCACACAGACTCTAAAGATTCTGCTGATTCTAAATGAGCTGCAGGATCTTTGGTTCTTACACCAGACTGTGTTTTTGAAAATGTTCTGATGATTGGGTTGTTTCTCCAGATGAGAACCAGAACCAGAACCTGCTGAATGTGACTCTGAATGAAACTCTGCAGGAACACTCCACCTTCTCTGCTTGGTTTGGTTTCTTCAGTGGTGAGTCTGACCGACACGGAGTCTCTGGTTCAGCTGACCCCTGACTAGACCTGGTTTCTGAGCTGAGCTCACCTGTATCAGGTGTTCACCCAGTGACTCCTTTGTCGGAACCTGTCAGATGTTGCAGGTCTGCGCTCCTTTACGGTGGGTCGTCTCGGCTGCCCACTGCTTCAGAAGGTCAGAAGTTAAGTTGGATTTTCAGTGATAACTCATGTTCATCATTTTGGGATTCAAACTGATGTTTCTAAAGGTACAACAAAGAATCTCTCTGGAAAGTCCTGGCAGGAAGACATGACCTGGATAAGGCTGAAGACCCAGAGGAGTAGGTAAGATGATGTCCAAGGACCAGATTCAGTTGTTGGACCAACAACCATGTTGGTCCAATCTGTCAACCAACAATCAGCAGAACCTTGCCCCTACTCTGTCTCCTCTCTGTTCAGCTGGTGGGAATCTCCCATATCATCAGCCACCAGGAGTACAACTCCAGGACCAAAGAGAGCGATGTGGCTCTGCTGAAGCTTGAGCATCTGTTGGTTTTCAACCTGTAAACCTGATCATTTCTTCCACTGGCTACTGGAAGGTCCTCTAGGTTTAGATCTTCACAGGCCGCCTCTCTTCTCTGCTGCAGAAACTCTCCAGAATTCAAACTAAACAGAAAATCTGGAACTTTATCAGTTTATTGAAAAATCAACCTTAAATCAAAGCCTAAACCTCACAAATGCAGTTCTCAGACTCTGCTAGATGTAGGACATTTTTTCCAGAAGTCTCAACTAAAATGCAACCGATGAGACTGCATCGGTTGCATCGGTTGCATTCTTGCTGAACTTTACTGGCAGAATCCAAGTCTGGGAGGGGAAACGGAGGACCAGTGAAGGTGGAGTTTAGGACCCTGGGTCAAGGGTGAAGGCCTCCATCAGGGGGTCAGACTCCCGCTGACCAGCACCAACTGGAGGAAACGGACCTACACAGGTTCTGATTTTCCCTAGAAAGCACAACTATGGATGGTATTAGAAAAGCAACAGGTCAGATCCGGTCCAGTCCGGTCTGAGACGGTTTGGACGTCTGATGGAGGAGCAGCAGAAGGAAACTAGCATGGCTCTCCAGAGGCAGATCAGCAGGTTCTGCTGTCCTCAGATCAACCATCTGAAACATTTTAAAAGAGCCATTTCTCCTCGGGTCCATTTCCAGCACCAGTTCTGGGAGGTTCTGGATGGGCAGCTCGGACTTTTGGGAACAGAATGAGACCAGAACCCAGAATGTTTCAGCTGAACTTCTCAGCAGCTCAGGATCCCTCAGATGTTTTCCTCCATTTTGTAACGAACCATTTGAGACCCGTCTACTAAACCCGGGTCCAGAACGTTGACCTGGGCAGCACTTGGTTCTGGAACTGTTCAGACCTGACGTGGATCCTCTGCTTGCTACTCTTATGGGGTTTAGTAGAATTTAATGTGAAAAGAATCAATCAAAAATCTCGACTAATAACTCAGATCAGCTTGTTGATACTTTATTCTCTTTTCCAGAACTCCATCAGAACCAGAACACTGTAGAACTTTTACATCTGAGCTTCAGTTGGTTCCTGAAGGCGTCCAGGTTTAGTGGCTTCGCTCTGCAGAAAGGACTCCATCCTTCAGGGTCTCTGATGGATGATAGCTGTAGGAGTGGTTCTGACCCAGCAGACCCGGTCCAGGTTCAGCTGTCCTCCACCTGCAGAGACGGCTCAGGTTAAACCCCAGGTCTCATCTGTACATCGCAGCAGAACGACAGGAACTCATGCCACCTGAACAGACGGCTCTAGGCTCCCAGTGGCTCCGGATCCATTGGACTGGCTCGGTTCTGGTTCTGGACCTGCTTCATAGACCGGGTTAGAGATGCTGCGGCTGTAGTTTGTCGTTTCAGCTGCAGGTTCTTCTTCTCCGTCGTCGTCCTGTAGAAAGCAGTCGGGTTTTAACGTCTAGACTCCTTCGGGTCGCTGCGCGCTCAGGGAAAACATTTTGATTATAAATAGTTGGGAAATAAACTGAGGCAGAGTTTTTACAGAAGAGGTTAAATTAATGCAGAGATGTTTCCGGGTTTCAGGCTGGGGGAGGAGCCTGTCTCTGCAGCGCCACCTGAAGGTCAAGCTCTAAACTGTTCATGTCCAGCATGTGTGAGGTCTGCAGAGATGTTGGCTGCCCTTTTCCTGACTCTTGACCTGGACAAATCCTGGATGGAGGGAAAGTCGGACCTGATGGTTTGTTGATGTGGCACTGAAGGGCCCCTTAAGAAGGAACTGATTTTTATTTAGTAATGATTTCTATGTGATTATATTAACAAAACACATAGCTACATTATAAAGTTGGGATTTTTCTTAATATTATGTATTTGATTATGTAGGAATCATTCTATATATGGGCAAAAGGAAAAAAATTAATTGCTCTTGGGTTCCCCCTGGTGGCCGGTAATATGAGCTGCAGAGCATCCAAACCTTCATCGCTCCAGTGGAAGAAAAATGAGCAAAACAATGTCGCAGAAAAGGGAGAGAGAAAGGAAATAGGAAGAATAAAAAAGAAAAAGTCAAGAAAAAGGTGTGTTTTCTCTTGGCAACGTTTATCAGAAAGATTTGTGGAGCTGTTAATAGAAAATTAGCTTAATATCGACCTTTAAGGTAGCGTGTTTGCATTTGTGTAAAACTGAATTTTAGCTTTAAATGAGTCGATTCTCCTGCTTGGTCCGAAATGTTTCTGAGGTTTTTTGGCTTCAAAATGGCGCGTTTGAAAACGTTTGATAACAATAATTCAAACTTCTCAATGTTTGATATTGTCTAGGAAAATGTTTTTCCATCAGGCTACATGCATCAATATATCAATGAGCCGATCGAAGCTGTAGTTGAAGATGTGCTGTTTGCTGCTGAGCATAATTTATGTGGCTAAAACAAACATTATTTTTACATCAACTTCTCAGGTATGAAACTATTCCAGGACTTGTTAAAATGATTTCAAGGCTCAGAATCAGCCCGGTACCGGTCCACATTCCCAGGTAAGAAAGACTCACCTGAAATAAATACCATGTATTTATCTGGTGTATTACCATGGAAATAATATGTGAACACGTGTGTATGAATACACACATACTCATATGTGGGTACGTATTCCATCTTAAGTCCAGACCATACTGTTTTTTTTTTGTTGCTTTTACTACCAGTAGATGGTGCATTGGTAGTATATAGGATATAATGTAAACAGTGTGTCAGAGCTGATAGCAGGTGTGTGAATGATCTAATAATCTGTTGATTGCAGCCAGTCAACATTATTAGCAGAACTAGAGGATCCCAAACCAAATTTCGCTTTGGGCCCCATGGAGCCTTGAGCTGGTCCTGGAGGGATGTCAGGAGTCTGTGGTACTCTGTGTTGGTTAAGTGGTTTTATCCCTGATTTGGAGCTGAAGGTGTCCACCTGGGGGCGCAGCCAAGCAAATGTTCAACCATCAGCAGGAAAAAGGAAGAGCTGGCTGACAATCGCTCAACATTTGCCTACATGGTAACTCCCAACCTCCAGAGATCTCCCTGAGTCTTTGCTGTGAGCTGAAAAGCTAAGCTAATAGTCTTCATGAGGTGGAGTGACTCACAGCATGGTCCGAAGATTACTCTATCCTAAACACAGCCAAGACCAAGGAACTCATAGTGGATTTTAGGAGAAGGAGACACATTCAACCACTGTACATCTGCGGAGACCAGATGGAGAGGCTGTTAAACTGCCATTTCCTGGGAGTTCATATCATAGATAACCTGGCCTGGGATGTAAACGTAGCAGAACTGGCAAAGATTGCCCAGCAGAGACTATTTAATGAGAGAGCAAGACTGGATTTACCAGAACCTACTGGGTTCATGACTTTAGAACAGAACATAGGTTCTGTCTATGTAACCTGTAGGCTTGGTGAAGCAACCTGTCAGTTCCCTCAGTTTACTGGTCTGTTTTAAAACAGACTAGAGGCTCACCTTGAAGTAGTGGAACTGGAAGGGTTTGCTGCTGTGGTGGTAGAACCGGTATCCAACAAAGATGGCTCCCACCACCAGAAGGATCAGGAGAACCACTCCCACTCCCATCCCAGCCTGGTGGGCTGAATGCATCTGCTTGGCCAATCAGAAACACAGTCACTCATCTGCTGGGTAAACAAAGCCAACATTATGATGTGACTCACATCTGGACGGGGAGGAGGAGCTTCCAGAGGCCCCTGGAGGACGTGGATGATCCCGTTAGAAGCACGAATGTCGGAGTCGGTGACGAAGCGGTCGTTGATGAAACAGGAAGCCTGAGGAGCAGAAACAGATGGAACCTGAAGATGACCTTCTTTAAGAGTCAAGCTTAGTCAGAAATAAATAACCTCCATGATCCCACCACCCCCATGTGGAGGAGGCTGGTGGTCTCACCAGTGCTGAAGGGTTGAGAAGGTTGGCAACCCCAAGGACAGACAGACTGCCAGCTCGAGTCCTGATCCGGCTGTTGTTCTTCAGTTGGCTCAGAGGAAGAGCCTGACCCTCAGACAGGTGGACCTCGATGTCCCGCGAGGAAAGGGTCTGTTGGGACACATTAGTGAGGACACTGCAGCTGGTAGCAGATGTATCTCTGTCTCTGGGGCTCACCAGGTTCTCCGGCAGACCGCTGTTCTCTGGGACAAACAGGGTGGACTGGACTTCCAGGTTACTGAGGCTCTTCACAAACCTTCTTCCAGACTCGGACACCTCAGAATAGTTCATGATTTGCTGAAGAAGACAAAGATGTTGCTCAGAAGCAGAATTAATAGTTGAGCTGTGACTGAAGATGTGATACCCACAATCAGAAAGTTGGAGAAGGTGGGGGTGGACCTGAGGACCTGCAGCAGGTTTCCTGTACAGCTAAGTCCGTCGCCAATGTAACCTGGTTTACAGACACACTGCACCTCTGAAACACAGAGAGACATCACTGACATCTGCTGGACATCCATAAAACACTACCGTCTGATGATGCACAGACGACCCGGACTGGAACCAGACCATAGAGCTACAGCTGTAGAGATGCTCTGACCAAGCTGTGCAGGAGGTGCCAATCTGTTCTGATAGTCCTGTTCTGGTACCGCTCAGTGGTCTTAATGTTGTGGCTGATCTGTAACTCCACCTCACTGCATGTTCTCCTCTCACCCTTCATCCTGTAGCAGAAGGCATCCCAAGTCTCACTCAGGTTTTTCCGGGTGCCGTAGTCCACAATGCCCACGTGTCCAAAACCACAGTTGGGATTGGAGTAGGTGGTGGGGTAGGCGACCCGGGCTTGGTCCAACCAGCCAGCAGCACACATGTTCAGTCCACCCTTCAGCCATAGACCCAAGCAGAAAATTCAATTATCCCATCTAGCAAGAGAAATCTGAGTTTGGTGTTGAGTTCACTGACCTGCTGAGCATAGGAAAGCTGAGTGTAGTTTGCTAGGGTGGCTCCCTCTTCCCTGCAGCCCTGCTGAGCTGTGGTGTAGTCCAGCTTGTACTGTCCTTTAGCTGAACGGTAGTGGAACACGCCCAGCGTTGCATCTGGACACAAACATTCAGACCTCAGTTCAGGGTTCAGGACTGATTCCTTCTCCTGATTGGTTCCCTGAAGCCCATGCTCTTACCTTCAAAGTGGAGGTCGGTACATTTAGCATCTGGATGACACCCTCCATTGTCCAGGAGACAGCGGCTGATTGGCAGCTGTTTGAGTTCACAGCTAACTCCATTTCCCATGTAGTTGTCCTTACAGGTGCACCTTTTCTTCCCCTGATGACAGATGTGACTCATTAGCTCAGGTGACAGACCTGAGGATGTAAGTTGTAGTGAGCACTGCTTTATTCCTCACTGGAGCCGTCATGGTGCAAGTGGCGTGCTCACTGCAGCCACCGTTGTCCCCACTGGCACATGGGTCCACAGGTAGACAGGTGAAGCCGTCTCCAGAGTGGCCCTGAGGACACGTGCAGCTTACCTTCTCTTCTCTCTGAGAACATTTAGCTTCTTTGGCACAACCACCATTCCAGATCTTACACAGGTCCACCACTGTGGAGATGGAGACAGCGTCATGGCTGACCAGTAGACTGGGGCCACCAAAGCACTTCCCACAGGGAAACCAACATGTTTACCTGTGCAGGTGAGTCCGTCTCCTTCGTGGAATGGTCGACAGATGCAGGTGTTGTTTTCTTGACAGACGGCCTTTGGAGAGCAGGGTGGAGAGCACTGGAATACCTCAGCTGGAACAGACAGGGAAGCTGTTAGGCGTCATCAGGGAGGTGGTCCAACATTCACCTGAGAAGCAGGTGGTGGTCTGCAGGTCCGAGTCCTGCTGTCTGCTAAACATCAGGTAACTCAGAACCCAGGATGAAACCAAGACATTTCCCGTTTATCTCCCAGCCAGTGGCGGCGCCAGGGGGGCGCTAGGGAGGGCTATAGCTCCCCCTGGAAAAGTCATCGCGCCCCCAGAAAATATTAGATTTGGGGTTTTTTTCATCTGATTTAACATTTCTTATATGTAGCTGTTGTTGCATCGTCATCAAAAGGCACAAAATAAAAATAAATTATTATATACTGAGTTAAAAAAAAACATCCAACAAGAGGATTTGAACTTT